AGAATTACGATAGGAAGGCGATGAATGAGTCAAAATAACCGGGTGGAATGTGGTCTACTGTGGGATTATTCGAATGTGCTTGTGAATAGCATACTAATGAGCATGGTAGGCATTGTCGGCCAAATTTGTGATTCTGACTGTGTTCATATTAGGCGGAAAGAATATGGCATCGGTAAAGCATTAAATAACAACATCATACCAAATTTTAGCAAAATTTCTTCTTGTTCCTACGAAACCTACCTCCACTTCTAAATTTTTGAACTAACTTAAATAATTACGGCTTTGTTAACAAATCATAATGTACAAAGATCTTTTTCCAGTGATGCATAAAATCAATGTTGAAACTGCTAATAACCGATGTTTCTACGAATTTTAACAAAACCACACGACTTTATCCGCAGCTCAGCGAAACCCGTTTATTATAGGATTCTTTCAAATGAGCCCTGATGCGCTCCTTGAAAGAATTTTATAATAAATGCTTCAAATAAGATTTTGTACAGAAATCAATAAAGTTGTTACGATGAGAACAACTCAGGCATCTGAATAGAGTAAGCACGATTTGAAATTGAAAATTCAACTTTAAATGTTACGACATTTACTCAATCACAAGAATATTCTTAATGTAACAACTCACTATTATTTTTTCCCTTTATGTTCAGCTGAATATCATAGAAGGGTTCCTCTTTGCTGCTCTCAAAACTAACATTAGTGCAACGAATATAAGACTTCATGACACCACGGAACAAGTTTGGAATGGTATCCTCCACCTAAAAGATTGATAGCTGGTGTGATATCCTTTCCTCATGTTATGAAAGGAGTACACAATCAACATACAGGAGACTTCTTCATCTTGCTTTCAAGATTATCAAGCAGTACTCTGCAGAGCTCTTGTACATCGTGCTGCATAAAAGTTTCCAGTGAATCCCAACCAAAAGACTTTGTCAGTTTTTTAGTTCCAACTGGACGATCAGAATGCTGAAATACATGAAGATGTTAGAAGAGACATGTGCTATCTGGAAAAAAATATTCCCTCAAACAAACTACCTGCAAATCATAGAATACCCGCTGCATAGCCAAGGCAACATTATTTTCCGAATCAT